TATGCATTAAATGCTTGCATATTTACATTTACTATCCAAATATGATCTAAAAGATTTTTTCCTTAAATAATTTATGCAATGATTTTATTGATATCCATTATAATTAATATTTGTCGAGTAATATTTTTTAACCTTTATTTAATTACATAACACTAATATTTTCTTAAAAAATTAATATTATTTATTATTTAAAAGATAATGATCACATCATTAAATGATTTTATTGATGGTTAGATAATAAAATTACATTGGTTATTCTTTAAAATTTCGACATGTTATTTATTTGTATATTATTGTCAACTATGATAGTGTTTTTATCACTTTTTTTTTGTTATGTTTCAAAAATAGACTTATTGTAAAATATTTTTCTATTGCATAGAATGTTAAATAAACTATAAAGCCTTAGGATGAAAATTAAAAAAAATCTCTTGATTATGTAAGGGATTTATTTTTTGGCAATTGCTAAATCATTTTTTTTTTAAAAAAGAATTATTATGAGAAAATTGAATTCTAAAAAACATGTGTGTGTATTTTGTAAACATTTATACTCAAAATTTTATTTTGAATTTCATTACATAAAGAAGACTACTTCAATAACTTTTATAAATAATAATAATTACATTATATGATGTAAATTTTATAATAAAATAATAATTGAGTATTATATGGTGAACACTAATTAATAAAATTTTTATTTTTTCTTATATCAATGAATAAATATGTATTATAAAATCAAATAAATATTAGTATGACGTGTTAGCGGAATTATATATTAATTAACATGTTAATTTTTTGGCTTAAATAAACGCCAATTATTAAAAGATGTGAAATATGGATAATCCAAGCATATTGTTTTTTTGTCTAGACGTACAAGTCCTATAAAAATAATTGATTTATTATATGTATCACGTGCATCGCACGTGGTATGCACTAGTTTTCTTCTTTAAAAATCATACAATTTAATTTATAAATACGCTTTAATATAATCAAACAATTTAATTTATAAAAATCATATAACTAAATTTTTTTCTTTAAAAATACGCTTTAATATATATATATATATATATATATAGTACTTTTTGTAATAATAATAAAATGTGTTACTTAAATATCTAAATAATTTAAAAATTCAAAGTCTAAATTAATTGATAAACAATTTATAAATCTCTATTTTATTTAAATATTTAATTTTATTTAAAATAATTCTAAATATAGCCACATTTATTTAGAAAATCGTATCGATCCAACCAGTTCAACCGACTGGTGTTGACGGATTCAATAGCAAATATTTTATTCAAGTGAACTAGACTGATTATAAATCGGGTCTCGGACCATCCGGTCGAACTGTGCCCAACACTGTTTAATTTAAAAATGATGAGTAAATCTTGATTAATTTATTTGTATATTTGATTTATAACACAATCGTAATATTGTTTCAACGTGCATCGCACGGGCCACGCACTAGTATATACATTAATTTTTGTACAAATTTTATGATAAGTAACTTTCACATTATTTTATGCATTGTACTAAATTCAGTTCATTAGTATATTTATTGCACTTGAATTTGTATATATTGATTACAATCTTTGGCCAAAATTACTAACTTTAAGGACAGGTGAGTTTCTTGAAAACACAAAAAATAAATATGATCATATAAATTCTAGAGCTAAATATATAATTAATCTATTTTCAAAATGAATTTATGTAACACAACTATTAATATGATACCAAGAAAAAGAAATTATATTATCATGTACTTTGAATGATGGATTATTCAAATAATCATATCTAATGTAGTTCGCTAATTGTCAAAAGTAAAAAACAAATAGTCTAGTAATTGTATTATATTAAGTTTGGAATTAGAATAAAGAATATTTTAAATATAAAGTTAAAAAAATATCGTGCTTACCACGTCCTTTACTATCTTTTTTTCGGTTTTTCCACTTCAATTAAAATCATAATTGTGTAGTTACAAAGATTTAGAATAAATAAAGGTTAAATTTTATAACTCTTTCACATTTTATAGTAGCCACATATGCTTACCAAAAAAAAAATAATAATACAAAAATTCAAATTAGTGCAAAGTTAAGGTGTCTGTTAAATTAGTGCAAAAGTGGTTTCCGAGAATAAATGGATTTGCAATTGGTCGGATTTTATTTGTCCCTCCAGGAAGTGGAGACATGTACTACTTAAGGTGTCTGTTAAATGTTGTACGTGGTGCCACGTGTTATAGAGATTTGTGTTTCGTGAATGGTGTCCAGTATGAAAATTTCAGATATGCTTGCTATGCTTTGGAATTATTGGAGGACGACAAAGAATATATTGACGGAATAGCTGAAGCAAGCACTTGGGCATCTGGCCAGTCTGTAACGCCCAGATTTTATATTACTATTTATGGAGCTCGACTATATTTCCATAAATATTAAGTTTCTAAATTTGATGCATTTATTATATTAATATACATTAAATTATATAATTAGTATTAAAGTCTAAGCCATAGAAAATTCATTCGATTTTAATTATTAAAGGTCGGATCTATCTAGCCCAAGTGTCGGTTGTATTTTTTTTAAAAAAAATCGAGCCTTGGATTTAATTGGAATTTTGTTTAAGTGAACCGAAGCCGAATAATTTAATTATTCGAGCTTAATTAATTTTGAGCGAATCCAATAATTTTAGTCGGCCATTTTAATTCGAGTAGTCGAATTAATTCCCAAGACCAAACGATATTTTAATATCGAGTTATCGTAGTATTTTAATTCCGGGCCCATTATTAGTAATTATTTCGACCGACTAATTTAATTAGTCCTAGTTCGATTTATATTATTTAGCAAACCCGAGCATTTAATTTCCTAAGTTCATATCCGAGTTAATCGAGCCCAAGTGTTGGAGTTTTACTAGCCCGATTATGTAGTGATTTTAGGCCCGACTCTCTAGCCCGATTAAAGCCCAACACACACAAGAAACCCTAAGCTCCTCCCTCCACTATAAATGTTTTGCTCCCTTGTCTCCCAACATCAAGACACCAAACCCTAGCCCCCACTCCACTATTCATCTTCATCTTCAAGCTCAAGCTTCATAAAGCTTTCTTCTTCACCTTCAAGCTTCAAGGTCCACCACCATCTTCATTTTCCGACCACCCCTCAAAAATCCGGCCACCACTCGCGATTTCCCGGCGAGATTTTGGCGAGAAACCGCAGCTCCCAGCTCGCGCGTCGCCACCACGCGCCGCCGTCCCGCAGCCCTCGTTCTCAGCATCTTCGGCCATAGCTCGCGCCTGACCTCAGCCCGAGCTCCGCCACCAACAGTCGTAGTCCTCCTCGC